TTTTGAACAACATTTCAACCAACATCAACTGCAGTATTGACATCAGTACACCTACTCACACATCACCTAAATTCTCTAATTGATCCAATAAATCAGTAATAAAAAAATACCAAAATAAATTTGTATACGATATAGTTGATGAATCATACAGAGCTGTTCAAATTGGTTAGAACAATGCACGCTTGTGCTGCATCAAAGTTCGAATCCCACTATTATTCAAATAAAAAATAAAAATAGAATAAATATATATGGTTGATAATTTAGACTAGAGAGAGAGAGAGAGGACCATGGTTCTGAGATTGTTGGCGGGTAATTACAGCTTAGGTTACCTATTCCTCTTTCTCTTTCCCGGGTCGTCTCTTTACTGGAAGACTAACCACCTTCTTCTACTCTTGTTTTTCTTAACGTATACGCCACACACAAACCAACATATATTCCAAGCTTATTCAAAGCCCACCATAGATTTGCAAACTGTTCCAAGCTTCTCACAAGGTTCGCACATCTGCTTCTATTACTTTTAAGGTTCGTTTGCTTAATTCCCGTATTAAATTCTAAGCGTTGTTTTAGTTTGCTTAATTCCCATCTTAAATACTAAGCGTTGTTTAGTTCAAACATTAATTACTTGAAGTTGTTCTTCTTTTCTTTTTTTCGGCTTTCGGTTCAAGTTTTTTGGACCTCAAAAGTACATCAATTGATCAACTTTGGTAAAGTTGCAAGCTTTTTTGTTTTGCTGCATGGAAAATGGAACTGGGTGTTTGCTCCCGCCTTTGAATTTTGAATAGAGGCTCTGAGATTATCTGAATAGCTGTATGAAAACATGCCTTCCATGTTGTTCAGATTCCGTTTGATATCAGTTCTCCCTGAATTTTCATCTGAAGTCAGTTCTCCCTGAATTTTCATCTGAAGTTTACGTTCTTGAAGATCAAACACTTAAAAAACCCCGGTTTGAAAACCGTTTCGTTTTTAGTTTTTATTCTTTGTTTTGTTGTTTATGCTATGGAGAAAAATGAAGCTAAAATATAAAATCGAAATGGTTATCAAACCGGCCTTTAGATGTATACGTGGCTTATATGGTGGTTTTTTCTTCCATCTTTTTTCAGGTTTTACAAGGGAGTGGTCCAAATAGTTGAGAATCTTGAGATCAATAATCAACTCGATATCGAATTTCTGAGGATTATTTGCTTCCCCTTGAGCTGAAAAATGGGAAAGCAGTTGGAACGCCTGGACTCGAGTGTTGGGGGCAACCGTCCAGGCTGCATGTGGAGCCTATTGAACATCCTTGATTACCATCATTGGAGTAATGTCAAGAAGATTCTGCCCCACAGAAAGCGGGCCGGAGGAAAGCGAGTCAGACGTAAGATATCTCAGTTCACCCTATCACATGTTCTCCTATGTTCATGTGTGATGCTTGTTTTTCTAGTGACAAACAAGAACTCATGTGAATTAAGTAGTGCGATTTCTAGATTTGGTTGTTTTGGTGCTATATAAGCAGACTATTTTTGCTTAAAACTAGCGAACGTTCGATTTGTGCAGTGAGGTTTTCACTAGCAAATCGTCCTCTTTCCGCACACATGGTTGTTTATGTTCGAATTTCAATTATTGACTTATACGAGCTAAGCGCGATAAATCTCTTTCTTGCAGGCAATTATGGAAGTCGAAAAGCAACTTCGGAGAACCGTGAAATTGGTAAAAGGCCAGAGTTGGTAGTTGCGGAAGCTGAACCTCTGTTGGTAAGTTCATGTCATTCTTTGATTAAATACCGAATTCAGAAGCGCACGACAGAACACAGAAGTACTACTCTTGCATGCAATGAAGCATAAGCTGACTGTATCTTAATGTAATTGTACTAGGTCAAACAGCAGAGTACAGAAACTAGCACAGCAAAGAAAAGGTCTTGTAAATCTCGCAAGAAAGCATCAAGTGCAAAAGACAAACCAAGGGAAGAAAGCCCCAAAAGACGGATTTTAAGCTGCCCTGTACAGTCATGGTTGCGAAGGACTAGTGTCGTACATGATGCAGAGCCTTCGGAAAATTGTTTGGATACAACAAGAAACGGCAGTATCACTAGTCCTAGAGGATTGCAGGATTCATCGCACTTGAAGATGTCGAAGAATACAATGAAACGGGAACTTCCTCTCAAGGACGTTTCCAGTGACACAGTTAATGATCATGTTGACATTTTGGAGTTATTCAAAGTAAACAAGGAGTTTTTCTTAAAAATCCTACAAGATCCAGAAATTAGTACAAACCAGTTTCCAGGCCTGAAAAATTCCAAGAACAAAGTCAGATTAACAAAATCAAGGTCATTCCCCTTCACTGATTCCTCTCGAGCGAGAAATAGGAGGCCTAGCACACTCAAACACAAGCAGAATGAAGTTTGGTCCTTCCCAAAAGGAGAAAAATTGCTTGCCACTACTCAGACACCGAAGTCAATGACATCCGAAACTCAGGAAGACGATTCTATGAAGTCCAAGCATTACATGGCGGGTAATAACAGTGTAGGCAGTACCATGCAACAAGAAACAAGCTTTTCTTCTTTGGGATTGCCTGAGGAAGTTAGTCACCAAGGATGGAATCAATTGGTCATAAATCGTTTCAGACATATAACGCAGAAGCTAATGCATGCGCTACAAGAGAGCAAGAAGGAAAATTATGGCAATTCCATTGAGTCTCTTTTCTGGAAAGACCCTTCTGGACGTGATGGCAAAGAAGTGCTTGAAACGCTGGAGTTAACTACGACACAAGAGGGAAACAAGGTTCATGGTTTAGATGATAATCTTGGGCGGCAAAGACGTCATCGTGTAAGAAGAACCTCCTCTCTAGATGAGTCGCTTAGTAGATATACTCAGTTGTATGAGAGCAGCTACAGCAGTGATCAGAGAAACTTGCATCACTCGAAGAGCTTAAAGTTGAAAAGTGAAGAAAAAGTTCCTTCAACTGGGAATGCTCAGAAAACCACCAGAAGGAATCTGTCACTGCCTGATCTTGACTCTTTTTCTTCCATCTTAAACGGGGCATTGGTTAAAGATGCTTTTCGTTTAGGGATGCCGGTTACAAAAGCTGCGGAACAAAATACCGATAAGTCTGAACAACTCGATGCTATTTTAGAAAGTGACGACAGTGCACATATTGCTGACATAAAGGACAGTGATGAGCATGCAGTCGTGCCATTAGTAGGAGAAAGCACAGCTCACCAGGAGCAAGAGATGGTTATTGCGATGAGTCGTGAAAGCGAGCAAGCACAGCCGATGGAAAGTTCTAATCTTGATCCCCCAGACTATATAACCAGCAATGCAAGGTTGTCAATCTCAGAAGGTAAATCACAATACCCCTTGTAATTGCGCATTTATGTGTGCAAGTCTTAAAATATTTGCTGAAGTTTCAATCATTGAATCGAATATTGCATGTTTTACGATGTTAAACAACTGAATTTATCTCTGAATGATCAAGTTCTAATGCATTTTTTTCGTGCTACGTATGATTTGATTCAATTGTTTTTGCAATATGTATCAGGTTCAGAGTTAAATCCCGGAAGTTCCCATGCGAATGAGCCGAATTCTTCTCTTGACCTACAAGGCAGGCACATCATAGATTCGTTACCGGAATCCTCTATAAGCACTGAAATTGAACATAAGAGTTCAATCACTCACTCCTCGCGCTTTGTACTGGACAAAGTGGATGATCCTGATTCCGAATTCAGTTACGTGAGATATGTTCTTGAGCTCTCAGGCTTCATTGGTCACGAGCAGCTCGGAGCATGGTACTCACTAGACCAGCCTCTGGATCCCACGATGTTCATGGAATTGGAGGATTGCTTTCAGCATAAACCCGAATCCTACGAAGATCAAGTTACATCTGGCGATAGTGATCACCGGCTTCTATTTGATTTAGTTAATGAGACCCTCCTAGAGGTCTATGAGAGGTCATACACCTACTTCCCAAGGGCCTTGTCCTTCAGTGGCAGCATTCGTCCAATGCCGAAGGGGCAACGTCTTCTTGACGATGTCTGGACAAGAGTTAGCTCGTACCTGAGCTTGAGGCCGGAGATGGATCAATCACTGGATGATGTTGTGGCTCGAGATTTGGCGAAGGGCGATCGTTGGATGAACCTTCAATGGGAAACTGAGTGTGTGGCACTTGAACTCGAGGATTTGATCTTTGATGGACTATTAGATGAAGTAATTTGTGCTTAATATTGTTGAAGCCAAATCACAAGCTGCTAGCTAGCCTTGTACATAAATTTTTGTACGTATTTAGTTTCAGCAATTGCAAAAGATTTGTGTGTAAAAATTTGTAGCTCTCATAAGAACTTCTGACAAAATGGAGTATGATAGCTTGCTCTATATTTATTATACGGATCACGTTACATTTACTGATTACATTGCTGACAACTTCTCTAATACAGGTGAGTCCCACAAAAAAAAAAAAAAACTACAAAGGATAAATCTCGACAATTGAAGTTACAAAATATTAGCAAAACTTTACTCAAACTAAAGAGTCTAAAATTCTAATTTGACCCAATTCTAAATATTGAAGAGAATTATTATTAACACTCAAGAAATTTCGTTATGCTCCTTCCTCCTTAATTTTTTTTTTCTAGTTTCGCATTAATTTATTTCGATAAAACTAAATGACTGCAAAATGGCATTTCTGGAGTGTCAACTCCGTACGAAAACTAGAAAGCTTTGCTTACCTGTCCTAAAGGACAAAAGATAACGGTTGAGATTAAATCTCAATCGTTTACTCGTGAAAAAACATGTGCGGGACAGAAGCTTTGCTTATTAGCTCTAAATGACAAAAGATAACGGTTGATATTTACTATATCTCAACCGTTTACTCGTGAAAAAACTTGTGCAGGAGAAAATTTCCTTGAAACTAAAATCTAAAACGTATGTTCACAATGAATAACGTTGGATCTATATTTAGTGGGCTAAATCATAGGCCCATCAATCATATTCCCAGCCCACAAAAACCACACCATTTGCAGGCTCTGCTTCTTGCTCTTGTGCAGCTGTGCTCTCCCTCATTTCTGCAACCTTCTTAATTTCCTCTCGTTCTCGTTTGCAAGTCCTTCAATTTCAAACCTTCATCTCTGCTCACTTTCTCTCTCCGGTAAGTCGCAAGTTACAAAGCTTCAAACCTCCTCCAATCCCTAATCCAACAGCGACGCAGAACCGTGTGAGTAATTCTCCCCGATTTTTCTCCTCTCTAATTCCATTGGTAATGTTTGATGATTGGTTTCTATATCCAATGAGCACATTTTTGTGGGTTCTCTTTTTTTGCTAACATTTTTTTTATTCTGTTTCTTTTGGGTTTTCAGATTATTTTCCTTAAACCCTAGTGCTCATGGGGTTTAAGAATTGTGGGTTAAACTTAAGTCCTGTTAATTTGGTTGCAATATGTAAATTGTTCATCTTTATTCGAATTTCGCTACATGCCGGTAATTTATAGGACATTTTTCTCCATAGTGTTTCATTTCTTGTATCTCTATTACTATACAGCTTTTTGCTGCTTGTAGTTTTAAGTAGTAAGAATTTGTGGATCGCATAGATGCATAAAGGGTGGCCTTTCGTCAGCTATTCGGATGAAAACACGTGATAAGTTTGAAGTTTGGTGAGGATTCTGGTGAATGCAATCGCAGTAATGCATATAAGTATTTCAATTCGGGAATCAAGGCTAGTGCATTAACCAAGCTTGTTTGTTGGAACGCTATCGGATTAAAGGATTTGATTAATTGTGTGTAATCGGAGTGCTCACGCATCAGTTGCACCTATGTAATTTGAATATAAAAGATAAGAAGAAAAGGAGTGAGGTCGAGGTGGTACATTTTTTGACAAATTTCCTCTGATAGATGTGTTAATGTTTGTTTCTCTGTTTGAAGACCCATCTGAATGGATTGAACGCAATGAAAGAATATAAGGGGAGCATCTTTCTCACTGTTACCATCGTATGCCGTTTTCTTTTTCTAGGTCTCTAGCTTCACATGTTGGCAAGGTGATAGGTGGTTTGTGATAGGTTTACATTAAGGCATAAGAAGAGTTTTGAGGGATAAGAATACGAAGACAGATGTGGGGGCACCTTCCAAAATCACTTCAGTACATAAAGACGTTGAGGCATTCTTCCAAGTCTCCATGGATTTCTTTGTTTTCTTGTTCATACTCAGATGCTCCTCACAAAAGAACAAAGCTTGCTCCTCTGCAGGTTGCTAGTTATCCACTTCTCTCTTTCATCAGTCCTTACGCTTGCCTTTTTTTATTTTTATTGATAGTTCTTTTCTAAACCAATGTATCTTCGAATATTTGGGATTGTTCATTCTTTCTTTGTAGGAAAGGAGAATGGTAGACAGGTTTAGGCTTTATGCTAAAGGGGGTGGTGGTGGCAGTGGTTGCACCAGCACTCGCCGCAGTCGACATGATCGCCGCGGCAGACCTGATGGTAGGTTCTCTATTGTAGTTCAATGTCTATATTCATCTTTTGATTGAGCAGCATGTTATATATTTAATTCAATTCAAGCTACATCAATAATTCAAAGATTTTTCTCTTTGGAAATTATGAGAATTTCTGTTTTGTGGCATTTCTGCAATTTCCTTCTAACCTTTGGAGCTAATGTAGGTGGGAATGGTGGAAGAGGTGGTGATGTTTTTTTGGAATGTTCTCCAACTTGTTGGGACTTCAGCGGTTTGCAACCTCACCTTGTATGTAACTCTTATCTTTCTTCTTTCTCAACAAGTACCACTGTTGATAAAATTGAGTTTAAGTAATGTTGTTCTGCAGATTGCTCAGAGAGGGGGACATGGATCCTCAAAGAATAAAATTGGCACCAGAGGAGCAGATAAGGTTTATTTGTGTTTAGCAATTCTCGTTGCCTGCATGATTGTATCGTGTAGTTTTTCGTATGCTAGGTACTCAAATTAGAAAGTTGAAATTTACTGTCAAAATCTTTACTTTCGTAGATTGCCCAAGTGCCCATTGGTACCGTGATTCATCTTCTGAAGGGTGAAACTCCTTGTGTTGCTGAAAGACAAATTCCTAAAGATTTGGATCCATGGGAAATTCCAGGTACTCCTATTGGTGATGTAACAGAATCCGATCAGCAGTCTACGCTTACTGGCCTAACTACGGCAGAGGATAGTGACAGCTCATCCTCTCAACCTGACAGAATTGTTGAGGAATCAGCTGGCATGAAGGGAACTACCCAAATGGGATCAACTGATTCTCAATTGTCATCTTCTTCTTCTGAGAGTTGCTCAGAAGATGAGACAGAGGAAAAAGATCAAATTCAGTACAATGTTGCTGAATTAACCGTACAAGGTCAACGAGTAATTATTGCTTGTGGAGGGGAAGGTGGTATGGGCAATGTGTCCTCTGTGAAAGTGTTTGATGATGAGGAGTCGTCCCTTCGTGTGGGTTTGCCTGGTTCTGAAGCTGTTCTTATACTAGAGCTGAAGAGCATTGCTGATGTGAGCCTAGTCGGAATGCCAAATGCTGGTAAAAGCACTTTGTTAGGAGCTATATCGAGGGCAAAACCTGCAGTGGGACATTATGCCTTCACAACTCTTAGACCCAATTTGGGGAATCTAAACTTTGAGGACTTCTCGCTCACAGTTGCTGATGTTCCTGGACTCATAAAGGGTGCCCATGAGAATCGTGGACTTGGACATGCATTCCTGCGACACATAGAACGCACAAAAGTTCTTGCTTATGTGGTAGACTTGGCTTCTGGATTGGATGGTAGAATTGGAACGCCACCTTGGGAACAACTTCGGGATTTAGTTTTAGAGCTCGAGCATCATCTAGAGGGTTTATCTAATCGACCGTCCTTGATAGTGGCAAATAAAATAGATGAGGACGGTGCTGAAGAAGTGTATGAAGAATTGAAAAGACGGGTGCAAGATGTTTCTATATTCCCCGTCTGTGCTGTTCTGGAGGAAGGAGTGCCAGAGGTAAAACTGGCTCTTAAGAAGCTTGTGAATGGTGAAACATCAGACAGACTCGTTTTAGATAAAATCACGGTTGATTAAAGGTTAGTGATACTTCTTCAACAAAAAATGATTTGTTGGTTGCCGAGTTTCAGTATTAGATTTACTTTGTTTTGCAGTATCCATAATAAGTTTTGCACACTAGAATCATACTCCGTTTAGAAGAACTTCTGTAGGACAATCATTTCGTGTCTGGTTTGATCAACCGTTCAAAAATTAACATGTATTGAGAAAAATCACTATTTGTTTAGTTTCAGTATACATACCTATGCATATATTGTAACCGAAAACAAAATTTCAAATATGAACAGTTGATTTTTCTTCGGTGGTCTGAACTCAGACGCGTTGTGTTAGGGTTTAGGGTTTACGGGTTAGTGGTGGTCAGACTCATCCCCTGATTTTCATTTTCCGTTTTCTTTTTTATCAGATCGAATTCAGTATGTTTGAGTTGATCACATGATGTAACTTCTATAGCGGTACCAAACTCAGGCTGACACATTATGCAGAGCTTGAAAACCATTGAAAAGCAATCAACTTTGAAAGAGGTGGCTATTTGAATTCTATCAGTCCTTGGGCCTGGCTTCCTCCACACACAAATTAGCAAATAGGTCATGACGCGAAATGCAGGAGAAATTCTTTGGTGCGTCGGTCACACCTCAATCTTGTTACTAATTTATGGATTACAGTATGGATGAACGACGTGATTGATATATCATCAACCTAGGATGTAGATTGGTAAGACCACGTCACGCTGGAAGATTTCTCCAAATCTAGATGTTGATTGGGGTCATAAAAGGAGGCAATTGCATGCAAAATGGTCTTAAAATTTGGATCACATAATCGCTGCCATCAAATCTCTGCAAGAAATGGGTACCCATGACCATCGGCTTCTGCTATCGGATGGACTTTTTGGCTTTCGAGTCTCTGTCTCATATTCTATCGCTAAAGTTGAAATTAAAGCCTTCGGTTCAAGAGATCTCAAATCACTTAGTCATCAAACAAGAATATAAGAGGAAATGAACACAATGTCTCTCTAAAAGAACCGTATGCTCATGATGATAATCAAATGGTCAAACGATTTTAGATTTCAATGATTTTTGTGAAGAAAAAAAAATATTTAAACAAAGATAAAAAAATTAGATGGTTTTGATTATTGCACCTCATTGAGTAGTGCATTGACTAATGGAATCCTTTCACGTTTTAACGATGGAAATGATTTCCATTCACCATGGTATTGTTTGGTATACAGACGGGACGGGATGGAATGGGACAGGATGGAACGGAACAGAGAGGGAGCAAAGATGCTTTCGGATGGAAACAAGGAGGAAGAAAGAGACGGAGAGGTTATAATTTTGTGTTCCACGGATGTGGAACGAGTTGTTCCAGGGGGGTGAGATGGAACGAAAATTCACCCAAAACTCGTCTCGTGGAACAACGCGTTCCACCTGTTTTAGGCGCACCAAACGTGGGACGGAATGCCTCGTTCTACTCCGTTCCGTCTCATCCCATGTACCAAACGGTACCCATGTTCTCTCTCTTATTTAATTTTTTTGTTAGCTTTTGAATTGAATAAATCAAAGGAGAAATTGGCCACTTTAACATAGTTCATGAGGTAAATTGGTTGAAAAAATAGTTCATGAGAGAAATTGGCATTCACGTGATTGTGCGGGAGGGTATACGGCAGTTTATTCTTTCCTTTTCAACCATTCATCCATCGGGTTCACCGTCAATATGGCTTTCCTTCAAGGATTGCCATATAAGTTTTTTTTTTTCCCTCTCATGGTAATGCATTATTTGATTGGAACGCTACCTGATAGTGAATCTATTTCATGTAAGTTTTTCTACAATTTCGAGAGTCCATATGTGGTGTTTTTCATAATTGGAGAGGTTGTCTTCACGCCATAAAAGTGACAATTCTATACTACCAAGTTTAATATTTGATATTCCATATCATAAGATATAGCGAGTTAGAATAACATATGAGAACTTTCTTTCTTTCTTTTTTTATTTTTCTCAAAGAAAAGAGAAGAAAAGGCAAATGGAGAACCTTTGATCATAAAAAGATGAAAAGGACATCTGAGGTGAAGAGAATTGAAGAGAATATCATCATCTCACTTTTGGGAGTCAAAATTATAGCAGCTGGCTCCACAATAAGGGGATAGAAGCCCTTCAAGCCCCACCCTTGTACTGGAAGATCAATAATTGGAGGGAGGCAGTCTCCTTCTCGCAACATCTTTTCCTGTTTCTACTCCACAGCACATGCGAGGGGATCTAAACTACAAGAAAGTAAATCAAACACACAAAACAAAAATGGAGCAATGAAGGAATGGGGGTGTCTTTTTCTCCTGAAGATGGACAAAGAAATTGGCTCGAAACAGCTCGAGTTTGCATCAGATTTGGCTCATGAAAGAAACAAGCCAAATCAGGCCTAATAGGATATGAGTATGTTCAGCTTGCAAAGCTCGTGAGCTACTCATACTTTTTTATGAGATAACTTGAGCTAGAATCTATACAAGAAGTTTAGTTGGAAGGAAGGATAATGTTTAGGTTGAATATCTTCAATTTGATTTTTTTCTTTAAAGACGACGATTAAAGAAATCGCAACCGTGAGCCTTCGATCAGGTCCATCCATATAAAAAGAAAAAGGAATTTATGTTTGTGATTCCTGTTTTTTTTTTTTTTTTTTTTTTTTTTAATTTTAAATTTTATGTATTCTGTTGTTAAGCGGCGAATTTTTTGAACTCACTCGAGCTTGGATCGTATGGGAAGCAAGCCAAAGAACCTAGCTCGAGTTCGAAAAAAATTGGACAAGTTAAGCTTCAGTGCGGTGCAGTGGTATTTAGTTTGACTTGGTTCGTTTACAATCTTATAAACCGGACAAGTCAAGGTTGAGCACGGTAATATTTGGTGTTGGCTCGTTTACAACCCTAACCTTCGACACCTAATTGAGTCCTTTAAGCGTTATTCCGTCCCGACTCCCTACTATGTCCAAACTCATAAATTTAACAATGATACACGTAATTAGGAGCAGAATCTATCCACACAAGTACATGTTTATTTTTCTAATTGGATTTCTAAATAGCACATCCCACTGGAACTGCAGGTGAGAAGACTTCGAGCGTTGTGAAAGAGAGGAAACGAGAATGGAAAAAAGTAGGCTTTACGGAAAACAGCATGGATTTGGCTTGGATATACTGTTTATTGTCAATTGATTTTGAGTTAGACGCTCATATTTTTATTAGGATATCGTTGTCAGATTTTGCATCTTTAGTCCAAAGTTTACATGTGTTTATGGGTCTTATAATATGAATTTTTTACATGTTTAACTTAAGTGATGATTCATAAATAGTGATGTGTTAAGAGTATTATTATGTTAAAAAAAAACAATCAACATATTTCTCACTTAAAAAACAAAAACAAAAAAACACTTCTTGGTAACAATAAAATAGCCAAATCGCGCCAATAATTTGGTGAGACAACTTGCCGCAACACGTTATCAACTTTAATTTGATTGGTTGGAAGGTTTTGTGACAAAATTGCATCATATAAAATGATTTGAAGTCCCTTTAGACTGTCCTTGATAGCATCGATCGTCGACCATCCTAGATATTAGAGTATAAAATAACAATTAAATCCATGGTGGTTTGGATTCCCAATTTCCGAGGGGCCACCAAGTTTATTTGTCTATGTGAAAAATATTTGATACAGATTAATTAAGGGACCCAGAAGAGAGAACATTTCAAATATGTCACTTTGATGTGTACATTTTATTTTATTCAACTAATAGTGGCCAAAATAAAAAAATTAACATTATTTTGCTTCTAGAAATTTACATACAGAAAATGACCACTTTGGCAATTCATGTAAGTTTGGTCCATCTATCATAGAAATTGATGATTAACTAAGAGCTTTAAGTGGCGGAGTATTTAATTTCGAGAGTATTGTAGCCTTGCCCCAATGACTTGAGGGGAGTTTCAGCTCCTTTTTGTTTTCCAACAAAATTTTAAGCCATGGAATCTAATCATTTAGGATAACTTGGTTTCATCTTTTTTATTTTTTACATTTTTTTTTATCCAACAACTTGGCTTCATCAAAATACGTTTTGGCCAACTAAAATCGATAACTCTGGTTCATAAGAAAAGAAGTCACCTGATGCATACACATAGAGACTGATTGTTATTATGCTATATATTGTTACTTGTTACGAGGAATTAGAGTTTCATATTAAAGAATTCATATAAAAATATAATTAAATAGAAGTATGTACTTATAATATAATACAAATATTCTCTTGGTCATTTGGTGATCAAGAAATTCACGGTGACTTAACAATGTAATGTCAATAAACTTTATTATCAGCATAGATATCTACATTTGATCGGCGTGTACACCTTCACCTGCACTACTATAAATAGCGGTTGAGACCCTCACAAGAAAACTCATCCCAGGCTTTGAGTTAATTCAATTCCCAGCACTAAAACAATCTTCTCCGTTGTCCTTATACCAACTTTTGAAGAACATGTCTAGCAATTGTAGCTGTGGTAGTGACTGCAAGTGCGGCAGTGGCTGCAAGTACTGTAACAGTGTAACCCTAACCGTATATATGATTGATCATCATTCTCTATTATTCCTAATAGCCTTAATTAGGAATTAATTACTTTGTTTGTATTTTCCAATAATATCATTTTATATATGTAGATGTGGGATGCACGCTGACTTGGGTTACTCAGAGACCACTTCCACTACCATCATTGCTGGGGTTGCACCAGTGAAGACGTAAGTTTTTACAAGAGAAATATACCTAGAATAAAACCGGATACACATTTTTTATAATAGTTTAGAATTATGCGGCATGTACTCCATGTTGTTTACTTAGTGTCCCTCTAGTTCTATTTGTCCATACTGCTCTTTGATAAACTCTTCAACCATTGCTTTAATTTTATGAATTGTATGCTGAAAATAGATTGATTAATTGAATAAGGCTGATTATTTTTATTATTATTGCAGGTTCTCTGAGGGGTCTGAGATGAACTATGGAGCAGAGAATGACTGCAAGTGTGGCTCAAACTGCAGCTGCAGCTCATGCGGCTGCAACAAATGATCAAAGCAAGCCGAGGTCAAAGTCATGAAGAGCTGTCCTGCATGGGGTCTATATAAATAAGAAAAGGACTGTGAAAGTTGAATTGTTCAGTTGGGTTTTAGAACTTACTGTAAAATAAGATTGCCATTTTACCTGCAAATCCATGATCTCCTAAACTAGCTGGGCTTGGGATTTGCTTTGTGCATGGCTACCGTTGTATGTTACTCTTAATTAAAAGTGTTTG